AAAATAATTCAGACCACTGAAGAGCACATAAAGTGACCAAAGTCTCTCCAACCCACTTCCCCCTACCAGCTGTCACTCCCCAGAGGTGATGACCACCAATAACAGCTCCCCATGTGTTCTCTGAAGCTCTTTCCACACATATAAAAACCCACTGCCCACCCACTCATCCCCCAATGGGGACAAACTCTAATACTTGTCTGCATCTTGCTTTTTTCACATGATTCTTTGAGATAGATCTCCTCAGTTCTTCCAACCACAATTTGATACTGCCTTGCATCAGTGACAACGTGTGCCCCACTGGTGAACACTTGGTTGTTTCTTTTTGTTGTTGTTCTTACAAACTATGCTACAAAGAGCATTTTATACATATATCTTGGAGCCCTTATGTTAATATATCAGCATGCAATTTTGCTAAATCAAAGCTCAATTAAAATAAAATTTACAGCTCTTACCAAATTGTTCTCTAAGCAGCTATACCAATTAATGAACATCCCTATAAACAAAACATTTGTGCCTCTTTCCTTACACGCTCACAAATATTTAGTAGCAAACATTTTAATCTTTGCCAAACTGATAGGGAAGAACTGTGATTTTGTTTTAATTGACCCTTTATGATGAGGTCTGGCCCTTTTTCCCTTTTGTCCGGGAACCATCTATGATTTTTCTTCACTGAACAGCCTGTTTGTGTCTTTTGCCCATATTTGTGTTGTATTATCTTCTTTTTCCTGATGTATAATATCTTCAACTGATTAGTTTATTAAAAATTGGCCTTTTGTCAGGTACACTGCAAATATTTTTGTAATTCTGGCATTTACCTTTTGATTGTATGGGAATTTTTTCTACTGAAGAATTATCTTTTGCACAATCACATGCTAATCTTTTTGTTTTTAGGTTGAGTTTTGGGAACCTTTTAGGAAGATTGTTCTTACTTCAAGAATAACTGATAATGATAACATATATGTGTTACTATTATTATTGTCCAAACACGATCGAATAGTCATTGACTGCCATCTAGCTATGTAGTAGGAACGTGCTGAAGGCTGGGGTAATACAGAGAAAATGGATCGTCTGAACTGCGTTCAGCAGCACACAGAGCACAGTGTTCTTGGGTCGCACTACAGGTGAACCCAGAGAATGACCAGTCCGTGACCGTTCTTCCTCACCAGGTCACCGGCTGGCCGGAAGGGGCCCTGCCACCGCACTGGTCCCCAGCAGCGGCTCGTCTTCCTCCCCTGGAACGGCAGTCGAGGGCAACGCAAACTCAGACAAGCCAGAGACCTGTCAGTGACACTGCAAGCCATGTAGTCGCCAGGATGGTAAGTAAGTAAAATGCAGTAAGAGAAGGAATAGATCAAAAAGTGAGGGGAAAAAACAAAATAAACTTTTGATGGGATTAAAAAAATTTTACAAGATTTTCTGCAACACTTCTTGTTTTTTCTGTGTGCATGAGATTCTACTAGTACTTTCTTCCTTTCCACATCACAGTATATATTGCTTTAGATAATACCTAAGTTAAAAAATGAAGACTTCTTCATGTTCCGTGAAGAGTGAGTGCTTTAGGGTCTGATTATAGCTCACATCCTAATTTAAGAGATTGCAAAGAGCAGAATAAGGTATAGTTACTGCAAGACACAGTCCCTACTGTTAAATGTGTGATTCAAATGTTTATTTTGGTCTAGGCCACTTCTGTTACACGAAAGATTTAGTCATCCAAAGATTTAAATGAATACTATGCCCAAGGCACTGGGGAGATATAAAGATGCACCAAGCTGGGACAGGTCGTCCAGCGGGACACTCAGGACAAAAGGAAAACGCGTTTGGCAAGCTTGTTGCCATCTCTTTTACCAGAGTTAGCAAGAGATGTAGGGAAATTTCAGGTCATGAAGGTAGAGGGCAAAATATGCAGTCTGTTTATAACTGCCAGATAGATGAGAAATAACAGTGTCAGTTCTTGCCAAAACAACTGTGAAAGTGGAATCGTCAGTGAAAAAACCCACCTGAATTTCTTTAAACTTAATAATCACGTTACATTAGTGAAGTCTATTACTTTGTAATACTATGTTTTATAGACTGTAATGACATTTTTATACCCCAAAAATATCCTACCATTAATAGAACAAGAAGTTATAAATATTTTCTCGGGAGTGGCTAGGGATACTTGTAAATTTAGTAAAACTTTTTTGATTGATCACCTTTGCAACCAGTTTTTTTAAAGTCACGGTTGGTGGAATACACCTAAAGCCCATAATTTTGTTAGCAAAAGGCTATGGTAGTTATTTATAGTGCATTTTCATATATGTGGCTCTCTTACCTGTTTTTCAAAATAAAGTTATTACATTTTAGTCCAAATTCTACCTCTCTTGTCCATTCTATAGTAAGTTCCCTAGAAACATTCACAAATTATAGCCAGCAGTTATATCCTTAGGCCAAACAAGAGGTCACCTAACTTACTTTTGGTCCCTGAGGTAATTACTCAGGTCCCATTACTTGACATCAAAGTCAAGTTTATGAGTGAAAAAACACCAACAATGTAAATCCCAGCAGTTGCAGGTGAATTAAAAAGCTCCCAAATCAGTATTTCCCTCAAATGTTAAATAATTCACCATGGCATTATAAATACAAGCCTCCAGCAAAAGTTACACTTGAACAATTAAGGAAGCAGGAGCCACACAAATGACTTCAGGGGGAGAGAAACAAATTAATGGTTTCTCATAATACTGTGCCAATTATGTTTTCACATTAACAAGTGTGTAAAATACCCAAGCATTAACAATGACTTACCAGATCAAGTTTGATTATAGAAAACAGCCTGGAACCACACAGCAGGATTATTCCCTAAATGTAATTGTGGATTCTACGTACTTGGGTATGAAATGCATTTATATTATTTGAAAGTTTATTATAATGTACCACCTCCTCTTTCACAAAGTTCATGTACAGTGACCATCTACCAAATGCATTATGTTCCTCTGAAGGATCAGAGGGCAATGCAGCTGTTAGCAGGTAGATGAGAAATCTGAGGTCAAATCACAATGTACTGTGTACATATAAGTAACAGCACCTGCAGATATAAGCACCAACCTCTATTGCTTATATCTAGAGGGTTTTAGATATGTCTTAATCTCAGTATTAGTTGCTTTTTATGGAAAATGGGGATGATTCATTTATGCAACAAGTATTTATTGAACACCTATCATGCGTCCAATGATACTTTTCAAGTATTATTTTAGGATTAGCGATAATAAAACACAGCTGCTGTTCATTAGAGATATGTATGGTCACCCAACTGCAAGAGCAGATGACTGACAGTTAAACAGGGTCAAAGTCCGCAGACTGAAAGCCAAAAGCTTCTGACAGGAGAGAGATGCACAGTCCCCGGGGTGATGTGAAGTCTCCCTGCTTTCAAGGGACTGGCAGGTTACTGGCATTCATTATAGATCTTTATGTATTTTCTCCTGTTATTTCAACTAAACTCAGTCACGAGCGCTTTATAAATGTATTTCATAAAGTTCTGAGCTGTAACTCAGATAGGCTGGGGGGAAGGTTCCAGATGTATTAAAGATGCATTTACCAAGCTGCTTTCTGTTCAGAAGTTTTTCAAAGATATAATTACGAGAAGGAGATCCTTTTTAGGTCACTAATTAAATGGCTAGTCTAAACTACAAGTGAAATGATCTGAATGAGACTAGGAAAGCAGAATGGAATTGAGAAAGGAAACACCTAAGATTTGAAAGGAAGAGAACTGCAGTTAGAGCACCGATTTGCCTCATTTGCTTGTGCCGCCTTGAAAAAGTCTCAAGATTTTTGAATCTCAGTTTTCTCAAGAGTGAAATATGTACAATGATAACTCTTACGTGCAGCATTACTGGGGTGACTGTCAGAGAAATGACCAATGACCTACAAAGCACTGTACAAATATAAATCATTGTAGAAATGGTCCCAACATATCCTTTCTAGTAAAGACACTTGTATGGATGGGCAGTAAAAGGTTTGCAACATTACCCCGGCTGGAGGAGGGTCATTTGTATCAACCACAGTGATAATTCTGCTTGCTTGTTAATGAGGAAGGATCACTGGACTTCCTAGCTGGCAAGCAATAGTCATCTCCAAATATTATAGAAGAGAAAAACATTTACGGATAAGACCACTAGGAATAAAACAGAAAATCTGAGATGGGGATCGATTTTTAAAGGACATCAGTAAGACATGTGAGCCATAAGTCAAAGTTTCTAGAAATGCTTCTTTTTGTGAGGAAAATTTCCTTGTCACCCATGTTTTTAGGGTGTTTTTAATATCACGTGCCAAACTCCACCTGCAGATCATTACTTCTACAGAGCCTTTTAACACAGTGCCAGGCACACCACTAAGATTAAATAAAATTACTGCTAATACACTGTTACTAAAAAATATGTAACTTTTTAAAAGCAAAACTGAAATTTTTGTTTTTATATGCAGCAAAATGACTACTACAGTCATAAATTTACTTTTTAATCCAAATGTGTGAGATATAAGCATTTATTTTAGTATTTTCAATAAAAAACTCTTTACCATAAAAATAAGCAAAATACAATAAATGATAGAGTATTAAAGTACACCACTTCTCCTAAAATGGTAGTTGTATCATTATTTTACAACTAGGTATCACTCTGAGTAGGTTTAAATATAATAAATCTTGGACTAAGGGACGTAGAGGCAGGTCTCTACAGAGATACAGTGATACCATGGTAGGGCCGCTGAATGGGAAACTTTAAATGCCCAGGATAGAAATGAAAGTATTTGATGCAAATGGTGGGGAAATTTATCAAGAGTTAATGCAATGGGCAGCCAAGACTATCAGACCTGTTGAGAACAATAGAAATCCTTTTTTTCCTAATCCTACGATATATTTTAATCTACCCTTGAATCAGAAAATGACAAAGAACTAAACAGTGATTTCCACTGACTACTGTTCAGTAAAACACCACTTGGGGAGCGAGATCAAAAGACAGACCTCTTCTTACCATGAGTAGATCCCGCTGACCATGTCATAGGTGTGACGCGAAGCACCCGCGTGGCTGGGCCCGGCCGCCTTGGAGACCAGGAGTACCACCAGGCCCCTGAGCTGCAGGCTGTTCTGACTGTCCTGGACCAGCCCCCTGCCAACGAGGGAAAGAGGAGGTGAACACACCCTCACGGGTCGGCCAAAGGTTGGAAATTGCTGCAAGTGCACCCACACTCCCGAATCAGTCAATGACTGTAGAAAAGAAATAGGATTTGGGGGAGGAAGTTAATAGGAGGAAGTAATGAGTTCAGGAAACACGCAGAGAGACTGGCCAAAGCTGGTGTCAAAGCAATACTCTCGGACTGCGTGACCCGAGGTTCCGGCGCCCCCCTTGCCCTTCCTTGTCCTGGCTTCCCAGTGCTCCGCCCACCCTCTCAGCCTGATACCAAGAGGAACCCCCAGTTTCAAACTGCTTTATGGTAGGGCCACAGCAACTGAATCCAAACTGTGTGGCCTGGACGAAGTGGTATGATTTGGGGACGCTGGTGGTGAGGGAATGGTAAAAAAGGATTAGAAGGTAGACAAGAAGCTCGAGGCTGAAAGGATTAAGTCAAATCCAAGTAGAAGTTTATTTGATAAGTAAAATGGAAATGGATGCAATCAGTGAAAACCTTGCTATTTCCTGTCATGCAAAGCATCATTCTAGACAACAAAAAGGCTTTAATTTGGAATGTCTTATTTTTTTGCTACGAGGACTGAACTTTTATAATTTCTACTATAACTAAGGCTGGAAATACTTTTTTGTTTTAACTACTGCAAATGGTTGTCATGCAGGAACTAACTGACATTATGAAAAAAAAAATAGAAGAAACCATGGGCAATATAGTATAATAAATTAATATTTATAATAATACTCATGAGCACTAATCAAATACATTATATTATGCCATAAATAAATAATATACAAATATAGTTCTTGAATGTTCTAAACATTGATGTTTTAGTTCTAAAGCATTAAAAATTTGTATTATAGTATTCATTGAATTATTAAGATTTCCTTAGTGAATTAAAAAAAATCAATCTAACTTAATTAAATTAACACAGCCAAAATTAATGAGTTAGTCCATTACTTAAGAAAAATCTTTGCCTTTTATGCCTCCAATCAGATATTTTAGAAAGGACCACTTGTTATGCTTGGTAGTTTTAAGACAAGACACATCTTCAGGCTTCTCTGCGAAGTACCAGGCATCACTCTTTCTCTACATGTATGTTCTCCTCCATCCAGTAAGTGATCTTCAGCAAGTTAGAGGAGTTAGTGATTTTTAAAAAGACATTCTAATTTCCTAAGAAAAGGAAGTTAACCTAAGGTAATTAAGCTATATCACAACTGAAACAAGTATCATCAGAAATGTCCAAAGCTCACTATTTTCACGTAACCATCTACTTAAATCCTACAATATGAATTGCACACTGGGAACTGGAGGCTGGGAAGCACCTCATTTTGGAACAAGTAAACGTAAAGAGCCAGGATTTGAACCCAGGCCAAGTGGCTTTCGGGTCTAGCCGCTCTCAACCGTTATGCTACAGTACTCACTATCTGCTTCATCCCATTTGCAAAACTATTTGCTAAGTCAGTTAGAATAGTGCAAAATCCTTGTGCCATTCACCAGCTATATGGCTCAGACTGTCACCTCTTCTAGAAAGTGAGATAAATACCTGCTTTCCACAGCCACTGTACGGAAGACGCAACATAAACCAAGTATACAGCGTGGTGGAAGCACACAATAGGTGATCGGATATCAGAAAACGACCTTCTCTTTCCTTATTGATATCTTGCCATCTATTTTTTTCTCCTCTTATATTTTCTCTTTCTTCTACTCCAGATTTCCTTCTATCTCTCAAGGTCTTCCTCATTCTACCAGCATCTATAATCTCCTATAAATACTGTTTCCTTGTCTACCTCCCAAAACAGCAAAAGTTAGGGTGCCCGCTGCTCCCCAATAATACCACGTACCACTGAAACTCCACCTCCAGAGCGCATTACTGAAAAGGCCAGGAAAAGAAACTGCAGGACTGGTCGACAGAAACCGAGAGAGCCGTCGGACTGTTCATCTCCACACACGAGGGTAGTTAGCAGCCCGAGGACGGATTCACTGCTTGAGCACATTAAATAACTGTTTTCAACACACCGCTTCCTTTTTTAGTTTTATTAAGGTATCACTGATACACACTCTTACGAAGGCTTCACAAGAAAAACAATGAGGTTACTACATTCACCCTTACTATGGAGTCCCCCCCCACCCCATTGCAGTCACTGTCCATCAGAAAACACCGCTTCCTTAAATTCCCATAACACCCATAAAAAAAATAAACAAACTATGATAAATTGATGATGTCCACAGCTCAAAAATCAGCTCACGACCAAAAGAGAGTAAGATATTTTGCTGCTGAGAATAAAAAAATCCCTAGAATTCTAAACTTAGAGATAGTATGTTTCATACAGGCCGGGTCCTACTTCGCTGGAACACTCAGCTGTGTGCTCAGCGGTCCCCTTAAGGAGGGACACCGGCAGCTGCAGCACATGCAGGAGAAGGTGCAACGCGCACGGCCACATGCACGGCGGCGGATGCTCTCAAATTTACTAAAAAATGCAGTGAGCGCTTATATATGTCAGGCACGGCGGGGGCGCGATGAGCGCTGCGGAGCTGCGGTCCCCCCCCACCCCCACCCCGTGGATGACGCAGTCGGATCAAGAATCCCAGGGCAGTGGGGCATGTGCTGCTTTCAGTGACGACCAAGGGCTGTGAGGGCACCGACAAGGGGCAGCTGGGAGCTGCAGGCGGGAAGGGGCGAGGCGGGGGCTTCCCGGAGATCTAACAGACGGGGCGGCAGTAGCCAGGGGAGCTGGGGCGGGGCTGGCAAGGGAAAGGGGAGGGTTCCAAAGAGAAAACGGCGTGTGTGCAGGTCTGCAGAGCAGGGCACAGCTGTTTGCAGAGCCAGTGCGGCAGCAGCGGAGCATGAGGGGAAGGGCTGGGAGAACCAAAGCTAGAGGGACACAAGGAAGTTGTCTACTTATTTGAAAGGCTTCCAAACGGCCAGGAGATAGGCCGGTAAGTATTGCCTTACAGACCGAGACTAGTAGCTGGAACGCAGAGCAGGCCACTCTGGGCTCAAGAAGAAGAAATGAAAAAACAGACTGACGCTCAGTCCCTTGTCAACACAGCTGCTCAGAAGCTGCACAGCCTCTGACATTAGGAAGTCAGGACCATCTGGCGTCTGAAGCTTTTTCTTACTCTGTGATTATGATCTCACTTTGTGACATTTGATCATCTAATCACAGTATGTACAATAGGTAGAGAAACTGGAAAAATCCTTTATTATTAAAGTGTCACAAATGAAAGCAATATTTGGTATTTTGTAATCTGTATCACTGAAGTTCCACAAAATTATGTTCCTTTTACTACTATAGACAAAGGCTTCATCGCTCATTCATTCAGCTAATACAGGCCGGACGCCTTCCGCACACCAGGCACTGTGCGAGGCAAGGATGTGACGGCGAGCAGCTCGTGGGGTCACCGTCTAGTGGGAGAGACTGGTACGATACAAGATTCCCAAATAAACGTAAAATTACAATGGCGGTCATGCCAGGGAAGAAGACGGTGCCGTGAGAGCTTGCGGCAGGGGACTACCCAGCCAGTAAAGGCAGAGGCTTCCCTGAGGAAGTGAGGCTGAGCTGATACCATAAGGCGGGGCGTGGGAGAGAGTGGTAGAGGGATGTCACCCCGCAAGAGAACGGGCACGGGCACCTACGAAATGAGGCTGGAGGCAGACAGGGACTAGACCTCACGGGTCAAGCAGGCCGTGGGAGGAGGTCTGCCCTTGACCCAAAGGACGGTGCCAAGCCACTGCAGTATTTCATTAAGCAGCTGGTGACATAACCAGGTATTTTAAAAACAAAAAACAAAACTATCCTCTGTCGTCGGTAGGAAAACCACTTGGGTGGAAGGGGAGCAGGGAAACAAAGTGGGTGGGAGGAGACCGACTAGGGGGCTTTGTAGTGGTTGGAGAGAAGTATGGGGTGGCTTGGTGGACAAGCTGGAGAAGGAACAAATCTAAACGATTTCAATTCAATTTAAATAGATGTCAGATATTGTGTAGTTCTCAAAATTAGCTAGTATAGATATATCACTATTTTAAATAATATAATCCTGAAAAGCCTATTAGTTGAATTTATAGGGAGAGGTCGGGTGGGGGGGACTTGGCCTCCAAAATGCTGCTCTAGATCTGTAACAGATGAACAGTAAACATTAAAATTCTAATAGTTATACAATTTCACAGAAATAAGGGTTGAACAGGTGGAGCTTCGTGCGACCTGGCTCTGTGTTCTTCTCACAGTATGGTTTCAGTGGTTAACTGCAGTTCTCACTGCGTCACTCTATCTTTCCGCGACTGTAGCTAATTTATCTTCCTTAACGCAATCCTATAGGTGTCTCAGATCCTCACATCACAGCTGTGGGACCTTCTCATGCCGCCTCTCAAACTGCATTTCTTCAACGCGTATGTATCAAGCATGCGAGGCATACAAAGAATGAGAGTTTTAATAAGAGAACTATTACAACAGGTTCGAAAGTGGCAAAACTGGATAATACAAGGAACAGATAGCAAAGATGTGGCCCAACAAAAAGCTATCAACAGACAGAGGAAGAAAGAAAACTGTTTCTTGTTCCTGCGCGCCACCTCTGGATGCTACAGTGCACAGAGCGTCCGCAGTGGTTAAACTTCCCTGAGCAGAGAATGGAAGCAGGAGTGGGGCGGCGTTTCTGGAATGGAAGGAAGCATACTTTAGGAGAAAGAAGCAGGTTATTCAGTGACAAGGAGGTAGAAGAACAGGGAGCGGGTTCAGGAGCCGTGGGGCCACCCACTTGGGCAGTGGGTGAAGGTGAGTAAGCCCAAAAAGAGTCTAAAAAGTGAAGGGCCTTGAAAGTCAGGTGTAGAGTCAGGCCTGGATTCTGCAGACAATCTGACGGCCTGGATGATTCGTCACAAGGAAGCAATGTGACCAGAGCTGAAGACTAAAACTGTTGCTCCGGGCCTGGTGGTAGCGTGTTGGGGGCAGTGGGAAGGAAGATTAGTTAGGAGGAGCTGCTCCAGTAG